GTAGTAACGCAAACCGGGGAAGTTCCTAACTGAACGCTCAAACACGTCATTGTCATTAGTGAGGAGGAACTTTGGTTCATTATCTTGATGGCCGACAGCTCTGTCCGCCCTCGCCCCTCTCAGCTCACTTCCTTTCACTACCTCTGTCTCTGGTTCCACCAGACCTGTCCGACAGTCCACGTGGTTCTACACGTGCCCTACTTTCATTGCCATTGCTCTACGTGAGGATAACTTGCTCATCGCAAGAGTAGAGAGGTCGTAACTCTCCATCGACTGCGCTCTAGACCAAATCCCATACCTTTGGAGGTTTTTTTCTGGTGTCCATTTTTTTCTTTATTTTTTAGCAAGGTGTACCCCCCCCTATGGGGGGCAGTTGGCTTGTGACCACGGAAGGCGTCCACGTCAGTTGGACCAGTACCGACGGACATTAGAAGGTACTGCGTGGAGACCGCAACGGTTTTTAATGTGAAGACAACAAAAACAACAACATGCATCACACGGGCCCCCGAAAATAAGTGTGTATTGCAGTTGTTTTAGGAAAAATGCGAAAAAGACTGCTGTGTGACGGGATCGAGGTCGGATTCGAATCAAAACTGACAAGGTGGAAAGAGTTTCTTGCGGCACCTGTCTTTTTTCGGGTAGACGTTAGCGAGGTGGACAGGGCGGTTGCTGTCGACGATGTAGACGTAGGCCTCCGGCGAGAGCTGCGACAGCAGGTCGACAACGTTGCAGATAGCGCCGCAGTTGATCATCACGACACTCCGTATGTCCTCATTGCCCTGCAGGCGTAGCACAAAGAGCGAGTTAGTCATGCTGGCAAATACATGGGGCAGCAGGGTAAAACAGGGAAAGGGATTGGCACAATTATTGTTGTCACATGAGACACGTCGTATGCTATCGCCGACCTTCTCTGTGTAGTACAACATCGCAGTATAATAACTTGATTTCCGGTAGATCTCCCACGTACAGACGTCGGCGCGGTACCAGCATGTGACTGTCGGCTGGGGCGCGACATGCAAATGGTACACGCATCTTCAACATCTGAGTCATGCTTGATTCGACAACACTCTTTCCGCTGTAAGGTATAGCGCGTGCCGATGTTACCCATGCGATGCAGGCAGGCCAAACTGAACGAATAAAAAGGTGCACAAACGGCCGATATCTTGAATAGAATAAGCGTCTCCCATGTAAGGAGCTACATCTGTAAAACAGCAGCATACCTTGATAAGCTCCTCGTTCGCAGCCGAAATATCCCCATACCCAGCGACTGGCTTGATCTTGTAAGACACTGCGTCCGCTCTTAGCATGTAGGAGAGTATTCGGCAAGCACACATCGCATCGCAGTTGGGAGCGACGAACACGAGAACGGTGCAAGCACCGCGTGCTTTTGCGGCATCTTGAACGATTTGTTCGTAGGCAAAGTCAAGTCGCCGTTGATCCAACAGCATGGCCTGTGCCTTTGTTACCGCCAAACGTTTGAAGTGAAAAAAATCCGCGATGGCTGGGGTGGGAAGTCGCCCTTCCTTCCTCTGTCGCTGTCCCTGTCCCTGTCTCTGTATGACCCCGCGCGCTGCCGTTGCGTTTTGGGTGCTCGCTCACGTGCTCACTTTCTTTTATTTTTTCAAATTCAAAAACCTTGCCGCATTTTTCTAAGCGTTGAACTCCCGATCTACGAGTCGTATCGGAGATGGGGGATGTTTCGCGCTTCCCGTTAGTGCATCCTCACCCTTGTTGTCACTAATATGCTACTCAAGATCAGAGACTAGCGCGACAGAGGCAATGCATTATGTGGCAAACGCAATGTTTCTGATAGCGTTTACTGCTACGACGGCCGGAAGCATCTCGAGAACGACACATGCACGGCCAGAGACGGCCGGCTATATGGAGATGATGAGGGCTTCGCAGATTCGAGGGGGAGCCAGGGATGATGGGCGGTATTCGTTTTCGCTAACAACGTACAGTCCTGAAGGGAAGCTTAACCAACTTGAATACGCCATGAACTCTGCTCTGGTGAGTGCACACAGGGGAGTCGGCCTTTTTTTGCCAGCATCATTATGCGTTGTTGTTGGTGCCGTTGGTCGATTCCTCACATCTGTTTCTACGTAAGCTTGTCTGCTTTCAGAAGCCAAAATCAAACCCTCAGCCTGGGAACTATTGCATGTAGATTGGTCAGCGCGGACTATAATAGTCTACAACGCTACTTTTGTAGTCAATGATGTGGTTACGGCTAAAAGTTCGTCGTGGGTTCAAAACCCAGCCTGTACTTGATAAACTACAAGCAGTAGTCAGCAGCACACGGGGGTTTGACGCTGGCTCTTTTCTCTATTTTTTTTTTTTTTTGTCTTCGCTTCAAATCAGCGCTCACAGCGCTAGTGCCGTTTACTCCAACCCTTGGTCAAACAAAAGGGCTCCTCTCTACCCCCCCCTCCTGCGGTACGTTGCCTTCGATTTTTAATGCGACAAGAGTTCAGCACTCTCTTCCCTCTGTGAACACACGAACTAGCGCTATCCACGAGGCCAGGAGCGGAAGCGAGAGAAAAAACTCACGTTGCAAGAAAAGCTCGCTTACGCCGGGATTCGAACCCCTGTCCTGACCTCTAGAAGGGTTCGAGGATACCAGCTAAATCTTCACTCCAACATCAAGAAAGAAAACAACCTTCCCGCCGAAGGAACCTGGTACTTAGTACTAAGTATCAGTAGAGGACACCATTAAGAGGCGTCGTGCGTGCTGGCACGTTCGGGTTTGCCACTGGAGCTGAAAATCGAAGGTCGCAGCAGTCTCTGAAAACAGTCCGAAATCTGCGCCGGAGCCAAGCGGCGTCCAATTTTTTTCACAGCCGTGCTCACCGCCACGGACCGTAAACCCCTGAACCCGCAGTAAACCCGCAGCTCAGGAGATTGGGGTCAGTGGCGGCGAGCACAACAGTACAAGACACTGGGTGTCGGTCTACACGCAATTTGCGGACATTTGCGGAGAAGGTAGGCCACGAGGCCAATACTACGACCCTCGATACCAGGACCACAGAAGCAGATTTGAGCGCGCCAACACGCACCCCCCGCTGCTTTAGGATGTCCTCTACTGTAGTGATATTAGCACTACAAGGTCTCCAGGCTCGGGCGCCAGGCGCCCTCGCCTTCAGCTCAGCATTACGCTGAAAGGAAGGGTGGTGGGTGAAGACTGTGCACAGCATACCAAGGGCAAGAAGCTGGAAAAGACGTTCACCTGTATATGATACGTAGTAGGCTACAGCAGCACCTACCTTCAATACTACAGCATCGTTGACAGCATTATTACAGAAGACACATGCAGGTCCGTGAAAAAGCAATTTTTCGTGAGATGTGCATGCATGCATTTGTCCACAACAATCAATAAACAACAGCCGTGTCCCATTCCTCAACACAGAACGGTGTGGTATCCACGAAATGTGATACAGTGGTGGTATGACTAAAAATTGATCTACCGTTCACCTGTGAAAGACAGGCAGGGATACTATGTATTTTTTTGTAGGTGGCACCCCGCACAAACGTACGTTTACTCTCTCTACCGTTCACCTGTACATGGTATTTAGTGTATAGGCTACAGCAGCAGTACAGCGTCGTTGACAGTATTACAGGAGACAAATAAACTTATTTGCAGTTCCGTGAGATGTGCACGGATGCAGTATGTTCGAAAAACTCGTAACACAAGCAAAACCTGTGGCGTACCACAACAACAATAAACACAGCAGTAGACCACCTGTCTGTACTTGCAACTTGGAGGGTGTGTATTTCAGGCATATATACGTTTCCGTGAGGATACACGATGCACACCTACGTGAGGACTTGGAAGAAATTACTTCAGTTAGCGTTGCTTCACTTGAGAAAGCGACAGCATGCATGCATGCAGCGTGGGGGCACCACCTACAACACATACCACATACGGACAGCAGTCTGTCAATCAATATCTCCTGCTGTACATGTACTGTAGTGTTATGGTATTTGGACCCTTGGACTAAGATACCATCTGGGCGGGAATATTTTTCAGGAATATCCCGACCACCTGCCCAGATTCCTAGTATTCCGACTTTAGGCAGGTAGCAGTACAATGGTTACTAGCAGTAGCAGGCGATGTGCAAGCGTTCCACCTTGCTCAGTGTGTTGCCTGGTGTTCCCTGGTGTTGCCTGGGAGTGAGCGATAGCGAGCGACTGAGAGAGAAAGGAAGAATAAGGAAGGAAACAGACTGAAGAAGCGAAGCGGCTCCAACCTGCACACAGTGGTCGGACTAGCTCCACACTGAACCCGCGTCAGAGATCGTCACATCTCGTCACAGTAGTAAAGACCACGCGGGGTTCTCCGAAATCTTGTCCAATGGGCTGCGTTATTCTTTTGACAGACAGTCCCTTGCGTAGAAGCGCCCGGATTTTGCAGGAGATTTAGTCGTACTTCACGGTGCTGTAACTCGGCTCGCCCTTGGAGTCTCGAGCTCGCGACAGGGGCGCCGTGATCATAAGATTGGCATGCCCACGTCGGCGAAGACGGCGACTAAAATGTTTAAACCCCATTTAAAAACAATTAAAACCGATTTACCGCACCGCAACGTCTAGCTCAATGACTGAAAAAATGGTTGCGTGCATTCACCGTGTGTAACTCTACTCGCCTTTGGAGTTTCGAGCTCGCGACAGGGGCGCTGTGATGTATAGAGACTGTCCCGCTGAAGCGTGCAACGACCGCCGAAAAAAAAAGTCTAAAGGCGACCGCGGACTGATGCACCAAAAAAAGCGTCTTGCTTTTAGAGTGCAACAATGGTTGAACTTTTGCGTCTCAGGCTTCCGACATGATGTTAGTTAAGTCTATGCTCCAATTTCCTGGCAATGCAGACCTTATTTGAGCGCCTGTTGTTTTGGCTCTCTTGACTTGAATTTAGAATGGTGTGAATTTTTATCTTGGCTTCAAAGGAGGCGTGTGGAGGCAGACGCGTGAAATGTATGTTTTGAGCAGCCTCTACTGCCGCCCTGTCCGAGAATCAAGGATTTATGTGTTTCGATGCCTTCCGACTGATCTGGTGTCTCTCTTGTGCATTTTCTGGTGTTCTTGCGCTTGTTTTCAAAATTTGCCAACATAAAATTCTTGTTCTGGAACCCCTTAATGGTTTCATCTCGGCTTGACTTCTTCCAGCAGCTGCAGACGGCAGCGGTACAGTACTACATTTCCCTTTCCCTTTCCTTCAAAGACAAAGACAAACGGGTTTCCGTGGCCACAATCTAACCAACCCAAAATCAAAGTCGATTGACCCAGAGAAAGCCCCACGTGATTACAACCTTTGTCGAGAAACATCTCCTCCTTTACAGTACCACATATTTTGTAATAAATAGAAAAAGAAAGCACCTCAACGCACCTTCCATTTTCGAGATGACACTACATGACGTGATCACGTCAAAAAATAAAAAAACCGCACCGCGGTGCGGTTCCACACGGCGAACATCCCTGAATTTTACGGACAAGGAAAACAGTGTTTGTAATGCTTCCAGTAAAACTGCAGATCGAAAAAATCTAGCCACCATAGTTACAGTCCTTTGGTCCCGCGGTGTACTTTCTGCGTGGTGGTTGGTCAAATTTGTTCTCTTGCAAACAGTTTTATTTCGTGTTCTTGTAGAAACACACAAACAACTCAACGTTCATCTCTATCCAGCGATAAACATTTTTATCAAGTCAACTCTGAGTTTTGACCATTCTTGTGCCAACTTTTCTCGGAGACCGCAGAAGTGAACAGGTGGATGCTGGGAATGCCTTGCTCTTCCGGACTTTATCCTCGATTTTTCTTTGGATGCTCTTCCGCGGGTTTATTGTGCTCGGTTACAAGCTATACTTGATTGAGCGTTTTAAAGATATCTTGGGGCCGGCCGACCTTGTGGCTTTCCTTGAGCAATAGAAACCTACTCTGTAGGCGTTGTTTTCGCCCAGAGGGTACTTAATCCTAGTAGGTGGTGCGTAGCTGTGGTGTTACCTGTACGTTTAACACGAGCAAGAATTCAGAGGTGCCTCGTATGCACCAGCTGGTACTTGTTGTGTATGTTGACTGCGGGTTGAGAAATAATCTGTCGATGGTGTACATCAACACCACCCCGCATGTATACACACTAACTTTGACCAGCGACCGTGCTTTCGCCAAACACGACGGGCAGGGGTCCTTTCGAATCATGGCCTCAACCACGGTTTCCTAGCCGGGCATTTCCCTTTCACGTTCCGGGGACCAGTCGGGCAGCAGGAACGTTGCGCAAGCGAGCACAAATGAGTCAAGGTTGAGGTTCTGGAGCTCCTTTGGTTAGGGGGTTCAGTTTCTGTTGCGACCAGAGATATCACAGAGCACTAAACAGGGCACTATTAATACGGCTGGGATTGCTAGTTGATCGGTTGCCACGACGGCGCCGTCCTCACGGGGTGTACAATAGTGAATTCCTGATCGCCACTGCCCCTCCGCCAACTCGTTTTCGAAAGGGAGGTGCGCTGTCCATCGCGGTCATATACGCCGGAGGCATCGCGATGGCAACCGTAAGCCAGACAAAGTCTCCGCTTGTACTGGACTTGCTGACGAGGAAGATAGCACGTCTATCCGACGGCATTGCTATCATGCATTCTGGGCTTGCTGCGGATGCGAGGTACGTGGCTTGAGGTCGCCGAGCTTGGTGGGGATGACCTCATTGGGTGGCGTCATCCCTGGTCACCACCTCATCAATATATACCATTTGACTTGCCGTTGGTTTCAAGAGCTCCCCGCGTTTTTCCGTTGACGGTAAATAATACTGGTACACAAAGCACAGCGAATGTTGTCATTGTGCTGCTGCGAGGTCAATCGATTGTGATAAACCAACGCGGCGAGTATCTGTCGGCGTTGCCTGTCTGAATGTGTTTTTTTAGCAGGTAGCCGAGGGTGGAATAGACGACTTGCAGGGTTTCAAGACACATACTTGTACAATGAAAAAAACTGCCAGTTCGAGATTCCCTGTCGAAGGAGATGTGTTGAAATAAACTTTTGCGTTATTGGAAAGAAAACCTGGTTTTGTTGTCGAAAGATCACCGACCATCGACCGGCGGATTGATCTATATGGAGCAGAAACAGACAGGTGCGGCGAAGAAAACGGTGTGTCGCTAGAGATATTCGCCGGTCACAATTGGTTGTATCGTGCTCACAGAAGTATCGAGATGGACCTTGAGACCCGGTCGGGCAACGGTGAGGGGACCGGAATTGCATGGGAACACGCACTGCAACCAAATTTAATTTCTGCCGATGAGACTAAAGTTTTAACAGCTTCAGAACTCAAGACCTGGATATTATCTTGTTATTGTGCCACACGTGCAGGGAACTGGCGCATTGTGCCGTCTTGTGCTGCGAGCTTCACTTCATTCAACTACAAAGCCCCGGGTTTTGTTCAGCCACCCCGCGCCTGTATTTTGTTGTCGCCCATCAAGCAGGATTTTGACCAAGAAAGCAGAGGCGTGCTGTTTGGGATACAAGAGCAAGTTTGGTGAACAGGCTATCATCCCCGTCGGCAACCTCGTCACAGAAGTTGCTTCGATCTTGCAAGAGTATACGCAAATGGGAGGCGTTCGACCTTTCGGTGCAGCGTTCCTAGTGGCAGGCATAGATGATGATGGCCATGGTTTGCTCTACCGACTTGACCCCTCCGGGAGCGTTACATCCTGGAAAGCTGCGGCGATCGGCAAAGGCTCAGCAGAAGCTGAAGTGATACTGCACGATGAGTTCGAGGACTTGGTGGATAGAGATCATGCGCTGGAACTCGCACTTTCGATTGCGTTGAGATGTTCCAGTGGCACGACAGAAGAGGACGTTGAAACGGCTTATATTGAGAGGGGCCATAGATTCGATGGTGGCTAGAGATAAAGGCGATGCAAGTTTTTCAACAACGACGCAACTGAGATACGTCGTACAGAGAAGTACTTCGTAGCGTACACATGACGTTCCTGCCCAATAAGAGATGCCTTCCCACCGCGAACACACAGCATGATCATGTTGTAGTGGACTGGACGGCACTACGCCCAGGTGGGCAGCAGCAGCATAATAAGTTTCCATTTCCAGCTTTCGTAGCGTGAAACGGTGAAACTAAAAAATAATTACCATGTTTTGTTGTTGTTTTGGTAGAAGTACATTCCCTCAGGCTGCACTTCGAGTGCCGACGGCTTTCCTTGCAGAAAGTCGCCGCAAGCCACTATACCTGTCTATTCGAAATTAAACTACTCTGACTAGTGCATGTAAGCATGCATTCAACACGACCACGTTCGTGGCGAACATCGACACCGAACCAACCCAAAGAGCCAGATACATGTTTCGGCCTTGCATTTCGACATTCCACGCTGCGAATAGCCACCACAAAAGCGTACACACCCAGCTTCCTAGCAGTACAAAGGTCATCTTCGTTCCGAGTGCCAAACGTGGTGCTAGCAACGGCACCAGGCACAGGAACCACGTAAAATACTGTCCCGTGAACACTTTGTTGAAGATCACGAACAAGGCAGTTTGAACAAATACACACAAAGCGAGGTCGCCGTGAAGAAGAGCGGCAGATACCATGAGCATCATTGCCTGCGGTATGAAGGCGGCCAGGCCCAGCAACCATCGGTGCGGTGCTCCGTAGTCCAAGTAAATCCAGTACCAGTATATCGAATAGTTGTGCCTGTTGTCCGTCCTCGTCAGGTGGTACAGCAGAGCGTGGCGAACGAAATCCAGGCCGTATGCCCAAGCGCACGCAGAAGTGCATGCCAAGAACGTCGATGCCGAGAGAAGAGCGAACAGCAGTGGGCGACGGCTGACCAGATTTATCCAGACTGCTGAGCTCTTGACAACGCCTGTGGGGTCAGCACCGCCATACCAGCCCGCCAGTGAACTCCGAGCGAGATACAGCGCGAAAGCAGGAGCGTAGATGATGGGGTAGACACGGAGATGCACCACGAGACCAAATGCAACAGCAGCCCAGCCCAGTGAGCCTTGCAGAAGCGCAGAAGTAGTCCCTAGAACCAGTGCGCTAGTTAGTGCATCGAAGCTGCCTCGGGTGGACACGTTGATGGACAACGGATTCAAGAGCCAAAGGGATGCGTACTGAAGCGAACGCCCTGGCGGCAGACCGTTCCGGGTGAGAATGGATTGCAGGCATTTCCCAACGACCAGATCCGCCGCGCTGAAAAGCAATTTCCCCCAGCATCTATGAAGCAACACGTTCGGAACCAGGAGGTACGCTAGGAGTGGCGAGTAGCGGAAGGTCGCGCGGTCGTAGGGTGAGCTTCCGTCCACAACGAGTTGGGCCGCATCCGAGATGACCTCATAGTCAACATCGGTGTACGGTATCGAAAGACTCTTGTCCTGCCACTCACCAAATACGATAAACAAGATGCGAGCCGCTAACGCAAGAGGGTAGATGCCGTCTCTCCCAAGCCAGCTAAAAACCATCATTCCCTCAACTGAAGGTGTAGGGTAGCGCAAGGTGAGCGGGTACAATTGAACTTGCGGTGTAAAAGCAAGAGGGTGCACGGCAGACGTGGGCATACCATCACGTTTCTCCGGAGCCCCCTCTGATACGCTTTTTCTCCACCACCCCCACAGCCCAGCCGCAACCACACAACCACACACAAGACCACAAAATATAGAAACCTGACAAAATACAGCTTCAAGCTTCAAACCAGTTGTTTGTGTGCCACCTGCTTTGTCGCCCCGATGATCATTGCACAAAGCACCCTTGACACGAAATCAGCAGGAGAGCCGTCACAGCGTCACAGGCAATAATAATAGTGAACGTGTGTCCCAGGAGCAGTTTTCATCGAAATTTAAATTTTGCAACAAGGTGTCACCCTCACACCCACCCTCTTCGTCACCTCCTCCGCTCCCGACCGCCTCCATGCATGCGACATCACGCGCCTACACGTCCTGTCCAATCACAAACGCATCAGGCTGCTTTCAAAAACAAAAAGAGTATCAACCATAGACTACTGCTGTAGATATACCTATTTATCTATAGAGGTCCCTCTGTATAGTGCCGGTTGCTGGTGTAGTGTGCCGTTGTTTTCGGCTCGCACACACTGGAATATACCAAGTCGTTCTGTACTTCGAAAAGTGCCGGTGTCCGGTTTAGTGCCGGTGAAATTTCGGCGCACACCCCGGCACTAAACACTGGGACCTCTACTGTATGGCGTTGGGCAGCAGAGAGACTTTTGCTTGGTCATCGCAACGCAAAGCATTTCTTCGATTTTTTTTCAACCTTTCAACAGATCAAGGGAAGCGTACAAGAGGGCGCGTGGTGATTGATTGTGTCATATTTTCTACTGAAGGCGACACCACTTAGAACTTGAGTCAAGCGAATTCAGTCTCAAAAAGGAGATAAATTAGAGCTCGACAAAGAACAGGCGCTTACCAGGTCCAATATAGTCAGCAGACTAATAGAACCCGAAAGACAACTAACAAAACAGTAACCCTTGAGTACAATAGAAGAAGAAGTAGATGGATGTCGGGTTACCCCACAGCGAAAATAAGAGAACGATTCCTCGTATCTACACAAACAAACCCAGAGGGTGGCAACTTCTGTAATTCAACTCAGGGTCTACTCCAAATTTGACGAAATCGCTCAGAAAAAGCTACTGCACGTCGCGTACAAAGAATGTCAGTAGACTAGTATGCTTAGTATGAAGAGAATACGTGTTGGTGCCCAATTTACACCACAGACCGGCTCATAGTTGGGATCGGCCGCACGGCCGTCCAAGCCGACGTTCAATCGAATGAAACCGAATCCAGTCTAAATCGCAGTATTTCAGCAGAAATTTACGTTCACCTCCAAACTGATACCTATTTAGTGAGCTTGTCGCATAAGAGACCTTGGGGCCCAAAATATTCACTCAACATTTGACGAAATCGCTACGAATTGGTGCGCAACCTTTTCATCGCGGCCAGGTTTCAGCAGTTACTCCCCTCTCGAGTGCACTGTGAAACGAAGGACACGGGGGCCAAGCACCCTTTCACAGGGGTTTGAAATCGATCTGTGCATACAATAGAAGGTTTGGGGCTACCAACATGGTAATTCGAAATTCCAGCCCATTTTACGGGGTCAACACGCTCGATGGTTCGTATTTGAAAAAAATATTGCGCAAACAGAATAAGCATTCAGCTTCCTCCGAGCGGTTAGTAGATAGATCCAATCCTCGGCAGAAGATTCTGATCAATAACCACGCGGGAATATGAGGAGGTCTCCAACGTCCACAACACACAGGAGTAACAAATAGCACGCTCGCCCGCAACACGCCTCCTTGGCCTTACAACTAACTGCTAGAAACTCACGCACAATGATCTTCAACATCGACGAAATTATCACCAATATCCTACAATAAGGCTATTGCGCAACAATCTTCAAAGAAAAATCAAGGCAGTTGTACCCATGCGTTAGCGCCCCCTGGCTGATTACATCGACGCTGTCCTCCAAGAAGAGGTGAAACGTTTCCGCCGTGATTCCTCCGCTGGCTTCAAGGATAACATGCGGAAATTCGCCCTTCAGCCTTCGCGACACGGACTTCAGTTCTTCTGGCTCAAAATTGTCGAGCATGATGATGTCTGCGCCCGCTCTGGCGGCTTCGGCAGCCTGTCCGTAGTTGCTGGTTTCGACCTGTCATGAAGCACACAACAGTCAGGTTTACACATACCAAGGTATTCACCATGCTTGCATGTGTCAGCAACTTGTGATGTCATCCTGCAGGACTCTGTTGCACCGGGGCTTTGCTGTGTGGGTCGGGGTGATCATTTGCACTCTGCATTTGCACTCTGCTCTCCTGCTTAAGACTGGCTCTGTCACTAGCATGTTGTAAGAAATTCAGATATTGAATCGATGGGAATGCAGGGTCACACGGTTAGTAACTTCATTTTTTTTCAGCACCCTCTCAAATCACCTCCTGTCGTCAACCTCAGCTACGCTATTTCCTACTGGCGACTGGGGCCCCTTGTATTCCATACTGTCTTCCTGATCTCGGGAATCATACAGCAGAAGGTGGTATTCTACTCTCAAAGCGATTCTGCGGGATCGTAGTTCTTATATTTCAACTTCTCCATTGTCCAACACCGTGTCCCCTAAGTAAGTTCCTCATATTGGCACTCCGACGTCGGAACAAGGGCATACACACCAACGCCTATCTCAGCGTCTGGTGTATACCAGCAGCGACAGCAGGGTATTGCCGCCGAAAGGTCAATTTCTGCACTTAAAGATACGGTGTTCTTCTTGAAAGGCCAAAATACGGAAAACAAACGTCTGCGACTGCGCAGTCTCAGCCTAGAATAACTGTCATGGTTCCACGTTTGCGATCCCGCCTATGTCCGTTCTACATTAACTCCCGGACAGCCGTTACACTGACACCCAGAGAGCTGGACACCAGCAGAAACGGGTAGCTCTGTGGGTATGCCGGGGATCTGTGCACGTAAGAAGTAGCTGGGTTTTGAGAGGGACGACAGAACAATGGACGCATCCGAGGAAAGGGTATCTATGACGCGGAATTAGAACTCGCAATGGTCTCACGTCGGAACCTGCGCCCCAACGACTAATCCGCCGGCGCACCAACAGGATCCCGGTGGGTAGTTATATTAAGCTTGTTTTGAATCCACCGCTATCTCAACAGTTGCTCGATCGTCTTTGGTTTTTCAGCTTTCATCCCCAGCCGTGTGGTTCAAAATCTTGCTTCTACATGAGCATCAGCGGGGCATTCGAGAAGTTGGTTTTGCGGGCAGGTGAACTCGTAGCCAAAACAATAACTAGATGCAAGTGACAAGAGCGAGCACGTGTCGTCACCTCGATCTTCATGGAGAACCCAGCCGCCCGCCTCGCGACCTCCACAGCTCGTGTGATACCCCCAGCGCTAGCAATGTGATTGTCTTTTAACATTACCATTTGGCTCAAGTCATAGCGATGAGTAGCGCCACCTCCGACCACCAGGGCGTACTTCTCCACCAGGCGAAAACCTGCGAGCAGTAAGGTGATATCAAAGTTTATATCTGCTCGCCCAAAAAAAGTGATTGCGATACCCACATGGTTGTCTCGTTGTCCGTGACTCGCATGGATGCAGAAGCTCAAGTTCTTCTTCGCACACGCAATCACCTGGTGTAGTTTTCCTTGTCCCCGCCACATATCCTTTCCAGCCCTTGGCCTTGGCCTGCTGCACAGCTTCGAATGTCGCGGTGGCGACGCCACTGCACCGAGAAATGACGTTAAGTGCGGTCCTCTCGCCCTGTAGGATGTGCCGGCAGCTCCCCGTGACTTTGGCCACCACCACCTTACCAGTGTCTGAGGAACTTGTGTTAATTTGCGCGCCGTCGCTCATGAGCCAGTCCACCTTGGAATCGGGGTACGAGCAGAAACGGACCAGGAGTGGGATATTGTTGGCACCTACTGGTAGGGGAGAGTCAACAACAACAAAGTCTATGCATACCATGAAGGTATCGAGGTGACGGGAGACAAAAAAAACGTTTTCTTTCCTAACACGGACGCTCGGTTTCTCGCAGTGTGTTCTGGACCGACTCTCCCTTCACGCAGGCGCCAAGGGTTGGGGGTCGACGCACCAACAAATTGCATCCACATGTAGAGGTGAGTACGTCATCCCATTTACAATAGACGTCAGCCTTTACTCCTATTGGCCCGTTTTCTGGACGCATGAGCTGGGATCACGCAGGATTGTACTCCATAGTTCGCTCGACCACACAGTGAGGATACCACTCTTGAGCCTGGGTTTCCCAACACACCCTTATCTGTCCCCTCCTTCATGCTGCTGGTGTGGCGTGTACTGGGCAGGGCAAAGGAATTACAGTCAGTTGCCTTGATGATCTCCGAAACATCATGTACATGTATCAAAAATGAAGACCTGACGAAACTATCGCAAGCAAATTTTACGATCATCTCCCCCAATTTTCTAACTTCGCACTCTTGTCATCCTAACTACTGTAGCAATCACGATACATACAGTACCAATCAACGATTTTGCTTCGTTTTGCTACTCCAACAGCCTCCGGAGGATCCGCACTCGAGCCAGTCACGTTTCTACAATAGTCACGTTTGTAGCACGTCGAGAGCATGATGCACTACTGCAGGCAAGATCTAGGAAGACTGCATTCCTTGATTTTCGAAAATACACAGGTCGCTGCAGAGGGCGAGAAGATAGAGAGTTGGGGGGGGGGGGGGGGGGGGGGGGGGGCCCCTTTTCCCCCGCTTTTAAAGGGCTGGTTTCCAAGGGGAGGGGGAAAAAAAGGCCCGGGGGGCCTTTTGCTACCCAAAATTTAGGGGCCTGGAAAAAGCCCTCCCCCCCCCCTTGGGCCCAAAAAGGGGGAACCCCGCACAAAAAAAGGGCTTTCCCGGAGGAAGCCCTT